GGGTATACTCCCCCCCCCCCTACGCTTAACACAACCCAACAAACGCAGCACACCCCCAAATGGACCCCCCCCCCCTATCCAAACACAAAGGCAGCTCCCTCCCCCCCCCCCAACCATATTATCCCAGTCGCACCCCCTTTTTTGGAAAAGGGGGGTTTGGGGGGGGGGGGGGGCGCACTCATGTTTTGCATCCCTTAGTTGCTAAGACTACGTGCCCTCAAGAGGGCAGAGAATTGTTCCTACAGGAAAGGGGGGTGGGGTCACGGTCCACGAAAGCACAGGGACAAAAATAGAGATATGGATATGGGGGGACTGTCGCCATAGTAAATAGGACCAAAAACACACAAGACAAAAATCACTTTCCAAAGTTACCACTTCGGATGCCCAAAAGCCAACAGAGCTCTGATTGAGCAGCAGCAGCTCCTCGATCATCACAGGGAAAACAACACAGATGAAAGCCTAAAAAAAAAACACTGACGCCCAAAAGCCAACAGACCTCTGATTGAGCAGCAGCAAGTCATCGATGATCATCGCAAAGCTAACCACTCAGGATACCTAAAAGCCTACATAGCTCTGATTGACAGCAATTTATCGATCATCATTGCACACACCTCAAGTGGTCGCCGGAACTGGCCACGAGGTTGTAACCCTTCTGCCCCTCGGCTCTCCCAAGGTCCCTCAGGAAGTCTTCCCGCGCGCTCCAGGCCACCCTCCAGAGGTCCTCGCAGACGGAGCACGGGCTCGTGTGCTTCCCCGTGAACCACGGCAGCGCCAGAGGGTTCTGGTCCTTGGCGCTTTGCACCTTTGCGCGGGGCAAGCCCGGGAGAGATAGAGAGATGGGGAGAAAGAGAGAGATGGAGAGAGAGAGAGATGGAGAGAGAGAGAGAGAGAGAGAGAGAGAGAGAGAGAGAGAGAGAGAGAGAGAGAGAGAGAGAGAGAGAGATGGAGAGAGAGAGTAAGACAGAGAGAGACACAGACAGAGAGAGAGAGAGAGAGAGAGAGAGAGAGAGAGGGGGGGGGGGGGAAAGACAGAGAGAGAGAGAGAGAGAGAGAGAGAGAGAGAGAGAGAGAGAGAGAGAGAGAGAGAGAGAGAGGGAAAGACAGAGAGAGAGAGAGAGAGAGAGAGAGACAGATTCGCGCGAGGGTTAAGTACACATACACGCATACATACATGTTCGACTATGACTCCCTCTGGCCTCACAGGATCCCAGATCATGGCCTTTAGAGGCGTTTACGTTTTGAGGCTCTCTTGAGACTGGGGTGCTTTCCTTGGGTCAGCCGGTTAGCGCGGTCGATGCTAATTATCACACACACACACACACACACATGTACGTGCTCGCGATTATCATCCTACACTGACGGGTGTATGTTTATTGGTCAGCCGGTGAACGTGGTCGATACACACGCATATCTACGTGCTCGCGATTATCATCCTGCACTGACATGGCCGTCTGTTTATTGGTCAGCCGGTGGGCACGGTTTCATTGCAGCCAGTAAAGACACAACATACACACCACATGCATGTTCGCGATCTCGATCCCGGTACTAAAAGGCTGACGTATTTCCCCAAATTCTCAGCCGCTGAACAAACGATCAAAACCAACAACAACGGCACCAAAATCGACACAAAGAAAAGCCACCCATGCATACCGCCTTCACCTAGGTAAGCCGGCCAACACAACAAAAAACGCCAGCACAAAAATCCACACAAGAATCTGAGCCAACATGTAAACTCCCCCCGACAACTCACCGGCCGCTTGTGCTGGTGGCTAGACGGGTCGGCGTGGACGCCGGTTCCCGGCGGCGGCGGCGGTCGCTGACGGCTCTGCGCACCCGCCACGGAGGCCTCCTCGGCCTCGCCCTCACCGTCCTCCACCGCCCTCACCCCGACCGCTACCGCCGTCGCTACGGCAACCCCATCGCGCGCCGCGGCGGCGGCTTGTTCTTGCCGGTGGGCGGGGACGGAGAGCACCACCTCCGGCGTCATTACTGCCGCCGATGCCTGCTCCGTACCCCCGGTCACCGCCGCCGCCGCCGTCATGGTCGTCGTCGTCGTTGTTGCTGTTGTTGTTGTCGAACCCGTGGTCGTTGTTGTCGCGGCGTCCGTGCTAACCGTTGTGGCGGAGCTCATGCCGCCCGACCAAGCGGCCGCCATCGCCGCCGCCATCGCCGCCGCCGACTGCGCGGCGGAGGTAGCCACCGCCGCCGCCGCCGTCGCTGCCGCCGCCGCCGCACCATCGCCGTCCGCGGCGGGGCGCTTCGACTCCTCCTGGTTTTCGGCGTACGTGGCCAGCCCCGAGGCGGAGTGCCCCCCCCCTCCGGGCCCGTGGCGGGAGGCGTCGCGCGAGACGTTCTGGGAGGTGTTTCGCGACTCGAAGGGGGACGAACGGATGCTCGTGGGTGCCGACACCCTTTCCAGCTGGTGGAGGCAAATGATAAACGGCGTCGATAGCAGTGGCAAGGAGGTAGTGCGTTGCGGATATGCAGTCGTAGTCGTCGACATCGTATAATAGGGCAACCGACACGGCAGGAGGGGATGGGTAAAAAAAACACAGGGGAAGGATCAAGAGGTTGGATTTTATGGAGCACACGAGGCTGAAACGGCCCTGCCTGCATCACACGGACCTACTGCTGGTGCTTCTACGGCAAATACTTTCATCTCTCTACCACAACAAGCGGAACGAAAGCGGGCCTTGAGCACCGAGGGAACGCTTGGTTTTACTATCCAACACAGACCGACTTGCTCCGCTAGCTCCACGCTCTCGTAAGCACCCAAGGAATCCTTGGAGGCAAAACCGCAGCAGTAGAGTTGAAACCAAGCAGATTCGAACTGCCCACCCTGCACAACGCTATACTGCTGCGGATGCCCTCTGCAAAAAACGGTACGCCTGCTCCTGTGGCCGCAAAAGAGTGTGGTGCTGGCGCCGGCGCAATCACTGCCGAGTGAGGCCTGCTGCCTGCGTTGTGCCAAGGTCATCTGTCGCTCACCCACCCTTGTGAGTTCATTTGTGGTTCACATTGATTACTACCCCGTTTTTGGGTAGTTGGCCTGTGACCACGGCACGCGTCCGCATCATTTGGACCGTTACGGATGCCAGAAGGTACAAACGCTGAGCACAGACGGAACGGTCCTTAATGAAAATACAACAACAGCAACAGCAACAGCAACAGCAACAGCAACTTACCCGGTCCTCCCGCGTGCGTCCCAACGACAGGTGGACCTTCAGGCAGGGGTGGCACACGCGATGCCGCTTAGAGTCCCCGCCGACCAGCTGCAGCCGCTCCCGGCTGCAAGGGTCGCAAACCGCCTGCCACGAAGCGCGATTGGGGCACAGCAGTCACGGTCCCGGTTTAGCGGTCCATAGTGTCACAAAACTGAGGTTATATCTCGAACGGGTAGTCTTTCTGTGAGGTTATGTTTACTTTCTAAAAATGATATGACCGCTATGAGTGTATCGCCCCTAAACCGGGTTGGCAGTAGCGTATGTAGTAGTTTTGACTACCGAGGTCCAGCCGTGCCGCCAGGTTTTGGAACCGCTACAATTGTGTTCAGGGCATCCCGCGAAACACGAACCGATAAACCGGGACCGCGACTTGTAGCGGACTTGCTGAAAATGAACCATATTGCAATTGAGGGTGTTGGGACTCTCGTGGACACGCCCTACGTACCGCACCGCTCTATATACCCGCTTTGTCAATGGTTCCATTTCGTCCGGCTCCTCCCTGTCTCATTAAGAGGTGGGGCCTGATGGATACCCCCACGCCACGCATATGCATACAAGCAGGAACTTCCTGAGATAGGCGTCTCGCAAGTGTGTCTGAGATAAATGCAGGGCTGCCTCCAATCCAAGCGAGGCCCGCTGTCCTTTGGACGTGCGTGCGTGGTTGGTTTATTGGAAGAAATGTTTGAAACGAAGAGAACATTGGCACAGGAAGGCAAGGGGCCTGCACCGTGGTGTGTGATCGTTCTGTAACTCCACACAGGCCCACATAGGAGATGCTGCTGTAGCAGCACTGCCAGAGGTCTCCTTACAATATCGCTTTGTATGGAGGACTCACACCAACAAACAATAAACCTTACCAGCTAGAATACGTACCAAGCCGAGGGTGACGAGCTTCGATAGCTTCTGCCCCACCTACAAATTCTGTGCAAACCCGACAACAGCGGGGTATATACTAAACACGCATCAGCAGGATCTTCCAATTACAGCATGTCCACCGCTGACACTGCCTGCGGTGGTCTACTTCGACCGTACCGCGGAGTATTCAATAACATGCGAAGAGAACAAAAACGGACCCCCTTCGCCTGCTGCTGTTTTGCTCTTGTGGTATGACCTCGAACGGGTTCCTTCAAGTCTCTCCTGGATTTCACGATACGTACTGTTTTTGACGAGGGATTCGCATGTACGCGTCGCTACACAACAGGTCTTCGGCAGATAATGTCCTACTATGCATCCTAGACTACTTGTACATAAGAGAAGAAATTGCTCGTGGAGTAGAAAATAAAATATACTCCATCGATCAAAGAGAGGCTACCCTTGATACCGCAGCAGCAGTCCAAGAGTATCATACATTTCACAAAATGCTTAGCAAACTTCAAAGCGTCTGTGGATAATTGATATTTGCTCTGCTGTGCGAGTAGCTGCGGGCGGTGTAATAACTGTTCCGTGTTCTGCCCCATCCGGCTAATTTCCCTTCCCGCCAACGGTCTCCCATCAGAGACGGAACCAACGGCGGCTGTTATCCTTGTAACACTTCGCTTACCCCCCTGGGGGGGGTTGGAGATCGGAAACCAAGAGAGAAAAAGCGTGTACCCAACAAGCGTGTTGTTGCCGGGTCGTACGTACCCCAAGGGGCGCGGAAAAACACGAGACTGGCGTTGATGCCCTCGCTCGCAAGCTGCAACTTGTTTTCGGATTTCGGTACATACTGTTCTCGGTGTATGACCACTGCCTGTTGCTGTTGCTTCGGCGCTCGTCGTCATGTACATGTATACTACAACAGCAGTGTATTTATATTTAGTAGCAATAAAGAAATGCATCATGAGGAAGGCAGACGTGCGTGAGACAACCCCCCGTCTTGCGACAGGCCAACAACAGCCTCCCCGTGCTGTGCGGCTGGAAGTGGCGGAGAGGGAACGATGGGAGCAAGGCCCCCCCGGTCAACCAACTTGCAAAAACACTTTTTCGTTTCGTGCCTGCAAGAAAAAGCATAACCATGCACCTCCAAGCACAACTAACATACCGGGCAGCCAAGCAACCATGGCTTGGGCAGCAGAAAGGGGAGGCGACGAGGCAGGGGGGGGGGGGGGGGAGAGTGCCACGGGGGATGGGTGTAGCCGATACGATACAAGTTCGCTCATGTCATACTTGCGCGCATGCATACGTGCCCGGGGGTCGGCGTAGGGTTCCCGAGACCAAAAAAACTTCAACAAATTTAAAAAAAGAGATCGCTCTGCTTTTCTCTCCATTTTCTTCTTCGCGACCACAGCAGCAGGCAGCAGACGCCATCCGAATCAAATCACACAGCCCTCTTGCCGGCGTGGCAACCACGACCACAGATAGAAGGGCCACCGGTGTCACGAAACACAACCCCAAGGCACACACACACAACACAGGCTGCTGGTTGCTACCTTCTTGCAGCCCCGGCAGTGGTGGCGCCTCATTCGCCACGTGAACTGAACGCCACATGCGGAGCAGGACTTGCTCCCGGTGCCACCGACACGGCCCCCGCCCGTGACTCCCGCGGTGGATCCGTCCGTGTTCTCCCCGTTCATGAGCTTGCTCGAGCCGTTAGACGCGAAAGAGCTGTACAGGCGCCGGGAGCTTGCCGACCTCAAACCGTCGACAACTTTCCTAGAGGACCGCGGCCCTCCTGCTGCAGCTGCCGCTGCCCCCCTCACTCCACCTCCCGCGGTGCCGCGCTCGGAGAGCAGGCCACCCACGCTTGCTCCGCCGTAGACTCCCGTCGACCGCGATGGGACCGGAAGCTTAACATCCTCCGTGTCGCTCATGGGTCTCGGGCTATCCTCTCCGTCTACCGCCGCCAGCAAGCAAAAGGTAGAGAGAGGGAGAAGAGAGCGGCACACGTGCTCAAATTGTGAAGTTGAGACGACGATTCTTGCTCCGTGGCCCGTGCCCCCCCCGCCCGGGCCGTTCTTCTCTCGAATGATTCACGGAGCCCCCGAGTGAATTAAACGGACCTACCTTCTGTCTGCAGGAGGACTGCTGTGGAGTCAACAACAGAAGCTGTATGCATAGTACGACACACATACATACACTTTGTGACATGCCCGTACACAGCAGCACTAAAAATAGTGACTAGAGCAGTAGCAGCACGGGGAATTGACCGCCGCACTCACTCACTCGTGTCTAGACTAGTTGGGAGTTTGTTGGCAATCTCGATGAGGCTAGCCTGGCTGGAAAAACTGACTTTCTTTCCTTGCCGTCTGTGAACTTGCATTCACCAACGATCATCATATTATAGATTTGCGTCAACCAATCAATATCGTTTTTTCTGGCATTTTCCATGTTGCTGTAGAATTCAGAGGTGATCCGGCAACGATTCCTACCATAGCTTGCTGCAGTATTTATTTCCGCAGACGAAAAAAAAACAAAACATGGGTCGAGGTATTACCACCTCTCACTGCCAGGAGCGAGCGTGCCAAGGACCTCCCGATCAGGGGAAACATACTACATTGATTGAATAGTCCCTCTGGGATGCCACGGCATGATGAGCATTCATTCAGTTTTAGTGCTAGCTTGTTGTTTTTTTTCGGGTGCTACTAAAACGGTCCAATACATGACGTCGTGTGGAGGAGGTGCCAAGAAAGACCACATCAATCATCATCATCAGCTCCCAGGGGAGCTCCTATGAAGCGCATGGTGTGGGTAGGAGGACTGGACACGGCTATCTCTCACACACACTCTAGACCGACCGTCTTTCACGGCTCGATCGCTTCACAGCCAACCAAGAGGATACGAGAAAAAAACACCCGACCGAGCGATACGCCTAACTAAGGAAAGCTGTATAGCTCGGCTAGGAGAGAGACCGGTCCAAAACCACCCGCTTCGGCACAGACAGTAGTTAGTTGTTGTTGTTGTTGTCTTCACATTAAAAACCGTTCCGATCTCTCTCTACCCAGTACCTTCGTATGTCCGTACTGATCCAACACTCGACGCGGTCGATTCCCGTGGTTACCCTAAAAAGGTACACTCAAATAAACTGCCCCCGAGGGGTCCGCAAGTAGTCAATATAAATCAACGACAGATATTATTCTGGAATCCTCCACTCCCTCTGCGCGCTATGCGAGGTATCAACTGAGACTAGGAGTCACCATCATGGGCCGGAGAGAAAGAGGTACACCCCCTTGGTTCAATCTTGGTACTTCACAGCCCATGCAGAGACAAGGCCATCTGGCACAGAAAAAGAGAGAAAAAAAGAGAGAAAAAAATAAAAATAAAAATGGAAACCGTAAGTAAGGAGAAGAGAAAACAATGAAAAAGGGCGAGGACAAAGAGGGACCAGGCCGAAAATAACAAGAAGTATGAGGCAGAACAAGGCACACGGTGGAGAGACCACTAACAAACAAGCAAACACGCAAACATGGCCACCAACCAGCGATACATTGTAATGGTACGAAATCACTACTGGGGGGTTGGTGCAATGGTGCAGCGTTGGGGGGGGGGAATTGGCTAAAAGAAATTCAATCCGGCACGTATCGTGCCACTCGGTCCGTCTCTTCTCGTTTGCTTTCTTCCCTCGCGGTCTCGTCCGTCTCCTGCCCCCCTCCCGCCCCATTGGTTGTTGGCTTAGCTTGTGGTTTCGTTTGAGCGCTCGTTGTCGGCTGGCCTCTTCTTCCTTCTTCCTTCTCGTGCCAGGAGGTCATGAACCTCTCAGCTCCCTGCAGCACCGCCGCATGCCAGGGTACCCCCCCCCTCCACCTTCGCGGCTTCCGGTACGGGGATTCCGAGACAACATGGATCGGAGCCTCTTCTTGGATGGGTGTTTTGCAGGAACGGAGCTGTTAAGGTGTTAAGGTCGGTCCAGGGAGTGTGCGTGGTATGCTGGGAATCGAGCGCGCAACGTCGGGCGCATCAAACGGCAGGCGACATGACGGAACGCCACGCTATTTCTCCTTTCGTCTTGTATTTAATCTGTAATCAACGGGAGATAGATGTCTCCTCTTGGTGATTGACGTCCCACACAGGACGATACGAAGTACAACGCAAGATCAATGGTCCGTGGACCACAACCAATTCGGCCATCCCCAACCAAAGCCAACCTAAGGGATACCAGAAAACAACCCTACCCGCACGCTCCCAACACCACCCTCGACCCGTTCTATATTTTTCTCTTCCACAAAACCTGATCACCCCTGTTATTTTTTCTAAAGGCGCCTTGCCATCCCCCCACTCCTAAGTAAATAATGCCCCATGAAAGGTGTGCAGAAAACGATTCTGACGATTTGGGGCATGACTATGCTTTCCCAATACCCACCCACACGATATGGCCGATATATCCAAGCCTACGGCCTCCTCTACATCAATCGACCACAAAAAAAACAAAACTGCATCTTCAAAACTGCTGCTGCCGATCGCTGTTTGTAGCGAAACAGGGACAATCAATCGCAGGCGAGCAAAGCAACAAGAACCACAACAAACAAAACGACGAAATAAAAGGCACCGCGAAAAACAGGAACCCCAGGTAGGTCCCGGGCAAAGCGACCACTACTATCAAAGTACTTCTACAACCGCGCATATTACCGCCTGCTGCCTGCCTCTGCCTGCCTTGACTGGCATCGCGGAGGAAATACAACGGAAAAAAACACGAAAAACAATACACACACACGTCATGAGGTGCTTGCAAAAGGAATAACAAAAAAAAGACTGTGTTCGCACGACGAGGAGGATGGGTGCTCAACCAGCAGAGGAAGGAGATGAACAAACACCACAGCAGCAGGAGCAGCACCGGTACGTGCAGCAATCCAATGAACCACAATCATCCGCCATCTACTCTACCCATCTACGATCGACCCCCCCCCCCCCAACTTGGCTCATTCTGAATCTAAGTAGTAATCGCCTGGGTTAATCCCTCCCCGACCACCTACCCTTTCAACTCCAACCCCAGCACAAGATACTGAGGGATGGGGATACCGTTTCAGTTGCAAAGCGGCAGTCGGCAATATTTATTAACGTCTAGAGCGAAGCTCCCAATGTGTCTGTCACATGCACCTTGCGCTACCATCGCCCCCGAAAAAAAAAAAACAGCGCGAAAAGCATTGTCGAAACGAACTACAAAACGCTCCCTCGAGTTTCAAGGGCATGTCAGTCAATGAATACCCTTCGACAATATTCGCTAACAACTCCCGAAAAAATGCACTATATGTTGATTTGAGTCCCCGTGCGTGACATGAGCAGCCGGCTCCCGAGACTGTAGCGCCGCCGTCACACCCATACATGTGCTGGTAACCTCCGACTTTGTCTGCATTGCCTGGACCTTCCATTATTTGCCCCTTCTCAAAACGACAACCTCTGCGTCGGTTTGGAGAAAAATCGATCGGAGGCCGCCATTTTCGGCATCTCCTTTCTAACCTTGCCTCCCAACTCTTTCACCTTCGGTTGTCCACCCCTCTCCAAAACCTTGACCGCCCCTTTCGCCTTCAGCCATCCCACTCCAAAACGTGACAGGACCGTCGACACAACTACTGCCTGGAAAAAATACATTAAGAGGTGTAGAAGAGCGGGGCCAATTGGAGCCTGGGGTCGAGGCACAAACAGACCCCATATGCATGGGCCTCCTTCCGAAGAAGGAATGTGCGTCTCATCACAATCTTCGGTAGCTCCACCACCACGACAGCCGGCTGTTAACAGGCTGCTTTGCAGCTCCTCTCGAGACACAAAGGCAGCCCGTGACCACCGCTGTTCTCTACACGATGGGCGTCGCGCGTGCTGTCTCTCCCACGCCTCAACCACAGCTAACTGGTACACAACCTACGCTACTCCAGCGGACCCCCTCTCTTCGGCTTCTTCCCGTAGGACAGCGAGAAGTCCGCCGGCTCCTCTTCGCCGTCCCAGAGCAGGCGGCTCAGGTGCTCCAGCTGGTCGGCCTCGCGGCTGTTCGCCACCGGCTCGAGGTCCCCGATCACCACGCTCCCGGCCCCGTTGCCCACCGGGAGGGGCCGAACGGCCTGCTCCCTCTCCCACTCCTCCTCCGCCGCCTGCCGCTCTCGCCGCCGCTCCTCCCTCTCCTGCTGCGCAAGGTCCAGGGCGCTGCTGCTGTAGCGGCCCATAAGCCTGGTGGTCCTGCTCCCGCTGCTGCTGCCGCCGGCGGCGGCGGCACTGCCGGTGGCGCTTGCTCGTTTTCTTCGCCTCTCCGCCGCCGCCTCCGCCGCCGCCATCGCCGCCGCCCTGGCCCCGTCCGTACTTCTCCCGGAGGAGGCGGGATTGTTTGTCCCCGCCACCGCCACCACCGACGGAGGAGCCGCCGTCGTGGGTGGCGGAGGCTTTCTTCTTCTGGTGGTGCGGGCCGCGACGCCGGCGGCTTGGGCGGCGGCGGCGGGGTTCTCCGCCTTCAGGGCGGCCGCCTTCTCCGCGTTCTTCTTCGCCAGGCGGTGCTTCCTCAGGTACCGCGTCAGCTCGTGCTGCAGCTCCTCTTGCCCGTGCTTCGAGAAGTCCCACGGCCGGCGCTCGTCCCCCTTGTAGTTGTCGACGCCTCTGCCGCCGCCGTTGCTGCTACCATTAACACCCACCCCGCGGTCCTGCTGCTGCTTGTCGCCGGTGTTCCGGCCCGTTCCGGTCGTCGGATAGCCGGACCTATCCCCGCCCCCCCACAACTGGCGCTCCTCCTCCTCCCGCCGCTGCTTCTCGCCCCTCTCGTCTCGGACTTCGTTGAATCCCATCACCGTTCGGCCGCCGCTGACGCCGCGAGAGCGGGCGCGGTCGTCCCGCTCGTGCTCCTGCTCCATCTTCGAGAAGCGAGAGGCCCACATCCGGCGCTCCTCCTCCTTGCTCCGGAAGAAGCGGCTGCCGGCGCCGGCGCCGCCAGCGCCCGCGGAACCCGACTCGTAACCGTTGGGTTTCATCCAGCCGGGTTTTCCGATCTTGGAGAAGTCTCCAACCACCCGACGGCTGCTTTCCCTCTCCGTAGCGGTCCTAGCATCGCCGCGGTCAACGGCGGCACCGGCAGCGTTAGCGGTGGTTGAATCATCACCCCCGTCGCCGACCCTGCTGCCGCTGCTGATGGCGCCACTAGTGCTGGCCCTGCTATCAGTGGCAAGGCGTTTGTTGCGCCTGCTCTTGCTGGGGTCGTACTTGCCCTTGCTATAGCTGGGGGTGCTCGGCTCGTAGACCGACAGGTACGACATGAGCTTCTTGCGCTCCTCGGGAAGGCAGCCATCCCTCAGCTTTGCCATCGCCTGCGTCGTGATTATTCGCACCTGTATCGTGACGCGATGGGCGAACAACAGCCCGAGACAGCGACACGAGCACGCAGCAGGGGACAAACGATAGAGTTGGTGCTTGATTGTGAGGACGGCCACAAGCGCGCTGCCGGCCAGTCGGCCATCACAGCGTCGGTGTGCTCGTTTCTTCAATGCTATGCACGCTGTTCATTGTGCTGCTTCGTGCGTCTGCCCCCCCTCTCTGTCTCGCGTGCATTACCACCGTTCAAAGTGTAAGTTTGTCTTCAAATTCGAATTATCAGGCGACCACGCGTATATGCTACAATTTTTGTTCTCAACCCACACCCTAGCCCCAAACCTACATCCAAACAAAAGCGGCCCAACTACAAGAATAAATACTAACGCCCGACTCCACCGCTCCGGAAGGCTCCCACCAGAAACAACAAGCGTCGCTCTCACCACATACCACAACAAGAGCACTTCGAGGACAATATAAATAGGATCGATCTTCGCCTCGAAAAAAAACCTCAATGGACTCACGTCATCAGGGTCACAGAAATCCATGATGGCAGCCGTTTGTTCGATCGAGTTGGTGACTCCATCGTGGAGCCCGTACCGCAGCACCAGGCACTCCCTTTCCGTCGCGTCTAGCAGGCGCACGAACGCGCTAGACAGGTCACCCCTCAGCGACGACTGTAGTAGTAGCGAACACAGGGGCCGAGGGAAGGAGAGGGAGAGAGAGGGAGAGAGAGAGAGAGAGAGAGAGAGAGAGAGAGAGAGAGAGAATGAGTCACCTGGCGTAGGATCCGGTTGTCATAGACGTTACACGCAATTCGATAACTGCAGGAGAGGTAGGTTTACGGCTCGAGGTCCAGTGTGACTGACACCTCTCGGTAGTGTTGGGGAGCGCTTGCCACGGTCAAACAGGAGGAAAGGCCTCATGGGATTCGTTTTTCGTTTCCCTCCATGCCTCCGGGTTCATTCAAGGTGAGTACCGTTTTCAGGTAAGCTTGCCTGAAACCACGGGAATCGAGCCGGTCATATGCCGGTCGATAAGGCCGGTCGCCCCCGGTGGTCTAGTTGGTATCCTCGAAACCTTCTAGAGGTCAGGTCAGGGGTTAGAATCCCGGCGTAAGCGAGCTTTTCTTGCAAAGTGAGTTTTTCTCTCGCTTCCGCTTCTGGCCCAGTGGATAGCGCTAGTTCGGGTGTACACGGAGGGAAGAGAGTGCTGAAGTCTTCTCGCATTAAAAATCGAAGGCAAAGTACCGCAGGAGGGGAGGGTAGGGAGGGGCTCTTCTGTGTGACCACGGGTTGGAGTAAACGGCACTAGTGCTGTGAGCGCTGATTAGAAGTTAAGACAAAAAAAAAAAAATGCTTGATCAGTACGGACAGATGAAGATAGTGGGTAGAGAGGAACGGTGTTTTATGCGAGACACCACCACCACCACCAACAATCGTGCAAGGGCTTTCTCAGTCCTCCAATATTACCAAACAAAAACACAGTCGTTTTTTCTCCCACTCCACTTCAACCCATCCCCTTCGACTGCTGTGCTTATGTCTCGAAACTGTAAGTCTTGTGTGATTAATGTATGTTTCTAGTTGAAGCGTACCTGCCTATTTCTTAAGAAACATTCCGTGTTCAAAGCAAACACAAAGCAGTCACTTTTTGCTTTTGCTTACCTGGATAACCTTCTCCCCTTCCACGGTCGGAGCCGGCGTCTCCCCTGGGTGCGTGAGCATGTCCGACCCGTACAGAAACCCCTCTCCGAAGTGCGATGCGAACACCGTGTCCGCCATGCCGAAACCGTGGCCCATGTAACCGTCAAGCCGTTCGATGCGAAACGAGTCCTGCTCCCGCGATGAAAGACAACAGGGACGGAGGTGGTGGGACTATTTTCAGTTATACAGTAATTGACGAAAACCCAACGCTCTGAGAAGTCGATATTTTAAGGTCGGTTGAGGGTGTGTGGTATGTTACGCCATGCACCCTACGATACATTGTAAATGGCTCCGTGTCGGAGGGGTGTTCGGCGTAAGAAAGGACACGCAACGCAGGGGGGGGGGGGTGCTGCGGTACAAGCTAAAGGTCGCGAAAACAGATTGTGCGGTATACAAAGGGGAAGGAAGGCGAATGTTTCATTCTTGTGCGGAAAGACTTTCACGGGCGAGAAACCTGCTAATGTTGACCCGACAGCAACGCCAACAGCAGGAGTAAACATATGGTAGCGACAGCAACAACGGCCACTACCGCAACAATAACACATAACCGCTGCGACTGACGACTCTTCATGCTAATAGTAAGAAAAAAGTACACACACGCATACCGACACCGACCACAACAGCGTACCTGCTCGAGGCAAGCCTCGACTTGCTGCACCGTTAAATCGGTCTCCAAGGCTATCTCCGGCTTCGTCGGCGCCCGTCCGAGCTCACCCTCAAGCTCGTCTCTGACACGCTTCACCTGCGATGAGTTACATTGTGTTGCGGTTATTATTTTTTCTTCATGTACCAAATGCATATTATTTGGTCCCGTTGTTGTTGTTGTTGTTGTTGGTGTCTTCATT